GGTGCTCCTGCTGCGCCGCGGGCAGCTCCTCGAGGTGGGGCGGTGGCTGCGGCTCCGCACAGGCCTCGCCCGTGGCCCTCGCCAGAGGGGCCGGTTTGGGCAGGGGCTGCACCGCTGCCTGTGTCCCCGGGCTGTGGGGGACCCTCTGGGTGGGTGGGGTCTGCCCACGTGTCATGGGACGGACGGCTCTGAAGGGCTGCTCTCCACGACTGCTTCCAAAAGTACTAGTTAAAGCAATTACCATATCCTCTCTTAGCTGACACAGTTCAAAATATTCTGAAGTTGGGCCAACTTGAGGGTAGATTTGGGGGCAGATTTTATCTTAAAAAAACCAAAACAAAACAAAAAAAACCCAAACAAACAAACAAACAAACAAACCACAAAAAAAACAAACCCCAAACAAAACAAAACAAAAAAGCTTTTTACATGACTTTGGAAATAAAAAGAGTCCGTGCAAGCCATCTGTCTTAAGAGATGCGCTGTAACAATGACCTTGACATAGCACAGGACTACTACACACGCTGCAGATTGGTTTGGGTATTGAAAATATAGATGTTACAATATCAGAAAGGAGAACCTGTCAGCATCGCTTTTAGACTCAAAAACAATTACAAATTGGCTTCTGGACCTCAGCACTCCACAATCAAGTGTTACTCTCAGTGGCTTTCCCTAAGAAAGCCTTGTTGGATATATAAAAATTTTATTAAGCAGGAAGGAGAAGACTTCATATAGACCTGTTGTAAAGAAGACCACTAAGCTTTTCAGATGATTGAGACATTGTAAAATTCAGTTTTCCCAAGGAAAAACAAATTGGAAGATGTACTTTTAAGTAGAGAAGAAGCATTTGTCTTCTTCAAAGAAGATTAACTACACATCTAAGCCTTCAAATATAATAAATTTTAAAAAGAATCAGAAAATGAAATGACCCTATACATACAGATATTACATGCCATGTATTTTGCCTATACACAGATGCACTTCCCTTTTTATACTTCAGCAGCATTTTGAAGACTAAACTGTTTCTTCCCTTTGTAAACCACCAGCAGTAATTTTTCTGGATAGAAAAACAATTTAAAAATAATTAGTATGCATGGTGTGTAACACCTCTGTAATAAAGCTATTCAAAATAATTAACCAGGATATATAGAGAAAATATTTACTATATTTTCATATATACATGTATAATTTTTTTTATATACACAGAGAAATGTATATATGCATACTCTGCATATACACAAACATAAAATCTAAATATTTTTTCTATATCTACCTGTGCTGATTTTTTTCCTCTAATGCTTTGATTCTATCCACTCTGTTCTAGTTTTATCAATTGCTCTCTAAGCTATTCATTGAGTACAAATGAGAGATACAGTCAAATCCTGCAAGTGCTAAGAACACATATGAACGAGGCACTGTACCCACACCCAGACCTGAAGGTGACAATGCTGTGAAAATAAAATTGATCTTTATGCATAGGGACAAAGTACCCCTAGGTTCTGCAAACTTAAAAAATAAATCACTGTTTTAACAAGCACATTTTAAGATTGTCTCTGTACTAAGCAGCATTCAGATAAATGGTTAAATTTGGATTTTGTTACTTTTCTTGACTCCATCTATACAAACCTATGGCATTTATCTCATTTCTCTGATTCTGTGTAGCAGCACCATGTACTTTCAGGAGATAAAGTCACAGGGTGCTGATGTAGTCCAAGATGAAGGAGAAAAATTACAAAAAAGAAAACACTGACAGGATCTATGACCTTATTTAAGAAAAGGTAAATGCAATAATATAGTTTATGTCCATGAGCTAATGTGTATATGTTACCTATTCTACACTTCCACAGTATCTCTTTGACAGAAAATTGCCAATAACAGTGTAAATACAAAAAAGGGTTAATACTGTGATTCACTTTTTAATAAGTAGGAGATGATCAATTGCAACATCAATGGATTAAAACATTGGAAAGAATCTTTCTTATGCCACCAGTTATACTCTTTTTTTTTTTCCCTCCTATAGTTTTTCATCTAGTCACCTCAAAATACTAGGCGAGTCTAAGGGTATCCTAAATATTCTTTTATAGCAGAACTTTGGAGAAATCCTATGTTCTAAATACCTTGCTGTTTGCGTGGATCATAAATCTGGAGCCCAAACAAAGGTGGTCTCTCACTTCTTAGCAGTGTCACATTCCTTGTAACCAGATCCAACTGGAAAATTGACCCATTCATATAATCTGTCCAGTAAATATAATTTCCATGATGTGATAGTCCAAAAGGATGATTCAGATCTTTTCCACTGTAGACTACCTGCAATGAATTAGTGGTAGGTAAGTATTATCCAGGTTAAAATAAATATTAATTTCCATTAGGATACACTGCAGACAACATAAAAAAGGATATCTGAGATAAGTACTGTGCCCAAATATAACAACCACATGCAATAAAATCAAATAAAGAGAGTAAAGCCACCCTATATACCAGCATCTGTATCTAACTCAAAAACTTTTATAAGTTCATTGTGTCCCGTCAGATAACAGAGCAATATAAATAACCATGCAATCATTATGTTCAGAAAGTACCCACCTCCTTCCCTAGCAAAAGAGCATGGTTTTTCTATAACTTTTAGTTTGACAAGTGTATCATATATCTGCTTCTTTGAAACCAAAGCACATATGAGTTGCTTGGTTTTGTTGGAGTGTGGATTACGTGCAGAGTTTGCTCCCTTATTTCTGTGAACTTCCTCTATAGTTTGGGTTGTGAGAACTTAAAAAAAAACAATAAAAAAAGTGCCATAGTTTATTCCCAAAGTAAGACAAAATTTCTTTTTCAAGTCCTGAAGAGAAAGACTTGGGGGCTTTTGCTGATGAAAAGCTCAACCATGTGTGAGTCCAGCCCAGAAGCCAACTGCAACCTGGACTGGATCAAAAGAAGCACTGGCCAGCAGGTTGAGAGAGGTGATTCTCCCCCTCTACCCTTCTCTCAAGAGACACTGCCAGGAGTTCTGCATTTGCCTCTGGAGCCCCCAGCACAAGTCCAGAGGAGGGCCACGAACATGACCAGAGGGTTTGAACACCTCTTCTGCAAGGACAGGCTGAGGGAGTTGAGGTTGTTCAGCCTGGAGAAGAGAAGACTCCAGGTAGACCTTGCGGCCCTTGCTTGAACTAGTGCCCAACAGTGTATTTCTGCCTTGCCCCTAGAAAGCAGAAGGTAGTTCAATGCCCTACCTTGACTCTGTTTAGAGATACAAACCCAAGAGAACAAGGAGATAAAGAAAACTAAAATACAGCTAATTTGAGGTGAGAAACATCATCCCCTTTTGCCCCTCGAATTTTCTCTTTGGGCTTGGAATTCTTTTGTTCAAAACTCCTCAGTTAACTGCTTTTGATCAAAATTAATCCGTCAGTCAATTATCCAGCAGCTAGTAGAATACTTGTAGGACTTCCCAACCCCTTATTGACCAAAATATGCTATATTTAACAACAAATGGTTCAGCATCAAAGGCAAGTAACTTCTAGTTATTTTTGACTACAAAACCATTATTCAAATGGTTATGCATTTTATTTAAATCACACAATTATAGAAAAAGTGTTTAGAAAAACCCTTTTTGCCCCCTCTAAAGACAGGTGCTTCTTACTATTCAGCAGTTGTACCCAGAGGCAAAACCAGTAGTCCTCACTAGTAATCCATGTGCAATCCATAGCAGCTGCACTGACCCCTCCTAGAACTGTTCTGCCCAGGAACTTTTCAGGAAATCTAGCACTGCTAGCCAAAACTAGTCAGTACAAGAGAGCTCTATATTGGTCCTACCAAGATTGTTATACAGAGGGAATCATGAGTGAAGGATAAATGAGAAATCACAGGACATGTACATTTTGTGACACAAAAGTCCCACAGAAGGACTTAATATCCATCATTCTCAACAATGAATTTTCAAGTTGTCAGGTTACTAATTTTATGAAGCAGCTGATAAACCTTCCCCAAATTATCAGACTCCAGTCCAAGCTTTAACCATTTCCACAGAGGACTTTTATACAGGCTCGTTTCTAGCTCATGTAGCCAGGAGTAACAACTACAACAATCTCTGTCCATCTTTGACTCAACATTTGTTCAGTGCTTCCCCCTCTGCATTTTACCACAAATGCTCAGACAGGGTGGTAAGATTCATCAAAAGCAGCTTGTCCCATGAAGTTAACTAAAAGTCTCTCTCTGGCAGAGCCAAAAGAACGTTTTTGTTCTACTGAAAAGCATTTTATGGCTTCGTAGCTCAATCAAAATGTAACTTATTGTCACATAAGAAAAATAGATTTTTTAGAAAACCCAAATCAACTTGTGTCACTTTCTAAAGATGAAAATTTTAAGCTGTATTATAGTCTCCTACAGGACACTGCCAACATTGCTTGTTTCATCAGAGATGACACTGGACATGCTGCAGGGTTAGACAGACTTTAAAAAGCTCAGAAAGTATTTTTAACATAACATAATGAAATCCAGAGGAAGAGCATGCCTGTGGCAAGCCGGTGGTACTTCTCGTTTACCTTTCTGTCAGTTCCATTCAAAAATATCCTTTCAATGTGATCATAATAGGCGTCACACCAGTACAATACATTGGCACCATAGTCCAGAGTTAAACCATTTGGCCACAGCATCTTTGATGTTACAAAAATCTGCCGACTGTAGCCATCCATCCATGCCTTCTCAATTCTTCCCACACTGTCATCTATTTCATCTTCTTCCCAGTCTGTCCAATACATCCAGCTATGAAATCATAGAAATGAACATTCAGATACCGTTTTAATCATGTGAATTACACTGTACAATTTTAGCAGCAGTTCTCAACAGCAGAACCAGAGCGATTTTGACTATTACGTGTTTCTTCCCACTACTTTTTCTAGCTCTAGTTTTACCTTCCCTGTGTGCTGGATGCTGCTGAAAAGACACGTTGTTTTCCTCATATTGTAATGAGCTACATGAATACCAAATGGACTAAGGAACAAGAAAAGTGCAATAATTATTTAAAACCTGATTTAATCACACCAGAATTATGATATATATATATAAAAAAGCAAACAGCAATTTTACTGACTTTGTAACGAAGTTCAAACTTTTACTGTTTTGTTTTTATTTTTTAACAAGTCTAATTTGCCTTTATGATGCAAATATGCCTTTTATTATGCTTAATACTATCAAAAAAGCTGCAATGTATGAATTAATTCACTGTGGTTTAACAGGATAACCTTGACATTCTATGAACTTCAAATCCCTCACGAAAGCAGCTAAATTACTCAAAAAAATTATTATTACTTGGTCCTTCACAAAAAAAAAATTAGAAAGACTGGCTATAAAAAAATATTTGAAGAAGAGCTAGAAGGCAATTTTAGCATCATTTTATGGTTTATAGAGCAGTACTGCAGATAACCAAAACAATTCTGAAAAATAGGTGCCTATGTTACTTTGGAAAAGTTAAGCAAGTGTTGGAGTAAATCATCTAGAAGTATTAGCTCAGATGAGTTCTCTGAGTCAGTCTCTGCTGGACTCTACTGAACACACCCTAAGTTTCTTTTTTCCCCCTTATTGAATTAATCTGATTATCATATTTAATTATACCATTTCCTGGTGACAGCTCTGATTTCCACAATTTAAAAATACACAACTTGCACTTACACAAAAGCAGAGGGTAGGAAATGTGCTAAGAAACACCATTTTAATGTTTTCTTACATTTTTAAAAACCTGTATGCAATCTATGAAACATGTAAACACTATTTCAGATCACATGATACAGTGATAGCAATACACTGAAAACATTAAAAGTCTGCAATCTATTAACTGAAATCCTAGACTTGACTTTTAAGCATTAAGTAGAAGAAAAACATCATACTGATCTTACATGGATCCTACTTGTTAAGGTTGCCATGACTTAACTGGTATTTATTTGCCTCATCTTTGATTTCTCTAGATTTATGTTTCTGAAATAACTTGGGTGATCGACCTAACCTGTCTGGACTTTGAAGAATAAAAGTCTCTGATTTTAAATTCTGAATTTACAAAGGAACAAAACAGTGAAGTGCAAAACCAGGATTGTTACATCAGTTTAAATGATGCCAAATCTACTGGTCAAAAAATTAAAATCGACTTTTATGTATAAACATAATTAGATCAATTTGGGTTTTACATACAAAATGAGAAAACAAATAAAAATTGCACCATAATTACACGTTTACAGATATGAAAATGCAGAGTTTTGTGTCTCTTTTGCTTAATTTCTGTGTGTTCCAAGCTACTTATGAGAAGGCTGTTTTGGGTTCTTTTAATATTTTTGTAAATATATGCTAAGAACACCAACCAATTTTTCACACATATAAATTTCATTGTATGTTTGACTCAACACTAGGCTTTTCACAGAATTGTAAAAGCTGCACATGCCCTAAAGCTCAGGCAGAGACTCAGGTCAGCATGGTATTTACTTTATGGAAGACAAAATATGTTTTACAAATATTTACATGACTGCTCAACAGCATTACTGAGCATTTCTGCATTAAGTTTTTGTCTTGCATATTCTAGTTATCCTGTCATAAGCTAAAACATGCTTACAATAACAGACATTTACATTGATGTGCTTTAATTGTATCCCAAAATGCAGTTAATGCTGCTGCATTGGTTAAATCCAGAGTAATATTTTCTAAACATAATTAAAATGCCATAATAAATGCTACCCCTCAAGAAAAGCTTCCATGAGAATTATAATCATGAAGGGCATGGTATTTTATTAGAAAAATATTATATATAATAGCCCTTTTCAGACAATACATCTTCATACACTATTTCCTGTGCCACGCATTTACTGAGCTGGAAAATTTAAAGTAATTGTAGGTATGGTTATGGTTTGTAGTCTTGATTGTACCTCCTCACTATCTGACCTTAATTAAATGTAGCCTTTCCACAGTCACTTCCGTTCTTCAAAGGACAAGCTCCAGAGTGAGAACCTGATTGTGTAAATACATTCTCGTACTAGGAGAACAGCAATCAATGCAGGCACACTAGAATTACCTCCCTACATCACTCTCTAGTGACAATTACCTGAATAAATGTAGCAGTGAATTTAGGTAAACTGCAACTCTACCACACTAATATCATGTTCTTTTTATTATGCAGCCTATCACAATTAATTATCCCAGTAAGTAATGAAAAGTACCTGTCTCATTGAGTTTTGTAAACGACGTGTGCAAGGATGTGCTTATAATTATCTCCAGAAATTGAGATTTACAAAGAAAGAAATAAAGGAGACTAGCACAAAGCTTACATAGTATTAAAAATACATACTGGTCTGATACACTCAATTTGAGAAGGAGGTGAAACACATTCAGATTAGCTGGACATAGGTTCAGTGGTGTCTGGGCATACACATTCTTCTGAAGGCTTCAGGCAAGAATGCTGGACAGGAATTACAGGTATTACAGACTATGACACGACTTTACAAACCCCATCCTAAGCAAAATTCAGCATTGATTTGTACTATAAAGGCAATCTTTAAAAAACAAATTAATCTACATACCCATTGACAGGATCAACAACAATTCCTCTAGGGTGGGACATGTCTCCTTCCAACAACGTTTTTCTACTCTGAGCAGCTTTTTCCAGTCTGGCCACAGCAATTGTTTTCCTATGGCCATCGTTTGTCCAGTAAAGGTTATTTCCAATCCAGTCTACTGCTATGCCTTCTACATTATCAAGATCTGTTGAGAGAAAGGGAAGACAATAATAATACATTAGTATTATAAACAATGGACAACATATGGTCCATAGTTTTAAATTATATTATTTCCTTCAGCCTGAATTGTATTTGCTGTGTCTGTCAGAATTAGTCTTTGCTGGAAACACCCTGCAAAAGACAAAGACTAGTCATAAAACTTGCATATTAAACCATAAGCCTTGATATGTTAACTGTAGCTGGCCCTGGGAGAATTTAACAAATACTTAATTTTAACCCTAAACAGTAATATCACTCAAGCCAAGAACAGCTTCCAGGATCAGCTCTAGCAGTCCAAATTATTTTGGTTTTACCCAAATCACTAATTTCACTCTTATTAAGGAAAAAAAGTAAAATAGGCATTCAGTTTACATTTGTTTCATTGTCTCTTAACCTTGGAAAATGTGTTCTTACGAACATCACAACATTCAGAGTTATTCTCCACAGTTAGAACTCCACTAAGTCCATAAGCAAACCATGAACACAGTAAGCAATAGATGAACAATGAGCAATGCTACTATTGGATGTACCAATGGGACATGAGTTTGACAGCAGTAGGGTTCCATCTAGAACCCAAATGAGTCAACAATGTTCATTACATACAGCATGGAGGTTTCCCCATTTGAGAAGTAGGAAAACAATTCCCCAAGCAGCAAGTTTTCCCTCAAGTTTACCCAATACCCTGTAACATTAACTAAGCTCTGCCCTCTCCCACATGATCCCAGTTCCTTAACTGGCAGTGCTGTGAAGGTGAAGACACTGCCCGACTTTAGGCATCACCCTTTGCCCCATCACTGGACTTGCATCAGCCCTCTGGCATGCTTCTCCTGGTCTGGTCACTCCGTATCTACAGGACAATCCCACCAGGTGATACCAGAAGTACAGGAATACCCTCCTCACAGAGGATACATGAGGCTTCAGCTACAGCATCAGTGACCACCACCTTCCCTGATCCCTCTCCTTCACCTTCAGACATGCTCCAGCAGCCCAAGGACCAGACACTTGCTATCCCTTCTTCCTCAGTCCTTCCATGGCATATTTTGTTGGGCAAGGTGAAGTCACTTCTCCATGTACCCCTCCACCAGCGGACACCAAAGCCCTCCTGAGCACAGGGCAATGTTTACATGGCCAAACTCCCCTGAGCTGTGCCACAGCAAGACACAGCTGTGTCTTGCTTGACAAGAGGGCTGAGGGGTAGATCACCCATGGCTGCTGCTGACTCCCTAAAGCTGAGGAAGCTGCCTTTGCTTCCTTTAGTATCCTTTGAGGTCAAACCTGGGGTGGAAATGCTCCTTTTACTGTTACTTTGTTTGGTAACTTGTCACCTGGATGAAAAAAGGTAATAGGATAACAGCATAATAGCTATGACTCCAGTGCTTCCACCTGAGAGTTCACAGCACCAGACTGGTACATCCCTTTGCTGTAATCAAAATGAAGGTTGATACAGCTGAAAAGGTGAAAAAAGTTCCAAAAAACCCTACAATATCTCCATGAAAAAAAAATCCCCTCCTGACTATGATGCTTCTTGGCAATATGGATTCTATTACTTCTTTGTCATACTCATACAACCCTGCAATACAATGTCAATGACAAGAATCATCAAGATTGAAAACAGGGATGTGAATTACTTTTTCTGTTCACATTTACACCGGGAATGCCATCTAGATGCAAGCCTTCATCAGTGCTGACATCACTTTCTGATCAACAATGGAGCTTTTTTTGAAAGGTTTTCTCAGAACAAGTATGATGCAGAGAGAATTTCATCAGAATGTACATTAAAAATTCATGTATTACAATTTTCTTAAGAAAGTCTGATGTGACAAAGTCAGTGATCTCATTTAAATCCTGCTCACATCAGCTGTGTACCTGAAAATGTGCTAAAATGAACACAACTGTTTTTACTATTTGAACTGTGCTGCCACACAAAGGAAATTTAACTGTCAGCTTCCCAAAAGACTTCATGTGAACTCCTGAAGTGCTCGTTTGGGGCATTTCAAGTTATCAGAGATGTTTTTACTGTAACAGGATTGTGCAGTGGTGCTGTATTGCCACCATCTAACCCTTTCCTCAAGATTTCTCCACCCAGACCCCTGCCTGTAACAGAATCAGTAAGTACTAATGAAAAGGTGTTACCAACATTTATACCTTCCACAAATTTTCTTTTGCAACATATCAGGCATATTTTCCTTGCAACAAACTCTCCACCAACAATATTTTTTAGGCCCCAGGCAACTTTACTAACTATCACACTAATAAACTAATTCACTAGAAGAAGTCAGTAAAGGGATGCAGAATGCTTTTCCTGACTCTGTGTAACTTAGTGCAGAACAGAAAACTTTGTGCTGACTATAACCCACAGCTAACATATGGCATGTCATCAACAAGGCACTACAAAAAAAATATGGCAGTTTTCACAATAAATGAAATATTGGGCTTTTTATACACTTGGGTGCCATGACAGCATCCATAAAAGATGCCGTTACAATCTCAGTAGCATTGGAACATGATAAATTATTTCACAGTGGTTTTGTTGAACAATGTCTTCTGGTGATTGTAATACCATCATATTCCCTATCAAGTTAACAGTGATAATGTTTTCAAACACTTTGTTATTGCAAAATACTGTATTTAATGTTAGTTTTCTCACTATTTCCTTTTTTTACAAAGCAAAATGCATTGAAATATAAAGTTGAAGTATATCAAGCTCATGATAAAAGCTCACACTTTATACTAAAATTTAAAAATAACACGGATATCTGTAAGGGAAATACTTCAGTAAGTAGGCTTCCAGTGTTTAACAATAGAAAATTAAAAGCAGCTAGTGGCTACTGAGAGTCATAACATGACAGCCACATTTTAGTTTTAAACTGCTTTTTCCCTTATCAATATCCTCTGCCCAGGCACAATGGCAGCAGACAAACAGCACATATGAAAAAAAGATAAACATGTAAATGAGATTTCTTTTTTTTTTTTACATAAAAGAAAATAAAATTTTGACAATTACATAGAAAGTAATTGAGGAATAAGTTTACTTATCTGGAAAAAATGAAAAAGGTGGGCACAATGGCAGCAGACAAACAGCACAGATGAAAAAAAGATGAACATGTAAATTAGATTTCCTTTTTTTTTATATAAAAGAAAATAAAATTTTGAGAAAATAAAATTACATAGAAAGTAATTGAGGTATAAGTTTACTTATCTTGAAAAAATGAAAAAAGGTCTAGAGTAATTCAGTATTCTTTTTAGGTGTAATGCTGTCTCTAGTTCCAAATGTGTAATCGTTCTATCCCATGCATATTGCTCTTGCTAAGCTAAACACTCATGGAGATGTATGCAGAGAAAACTGATGTATTTTATACTTGTTAGGTGTTGGGATTTTTTTGCCTTTAACCATCAAACTCCTAAGTTCAACCTACCTCCTGCAGTGACCTGAAGAGTAAGAGGGATTACAGGTACATCACAGCTCCAGCTGCCATCTCTAAGTGGGTAGTTCTCTGAACATGGGGGCAGCTGAAGTCTGAGTACCTCTGTATTCTTGTGCTGCTTTGTTTGCTCACTACTTAGCTGAGGAACAGTGACATTTTTTCTTCCATTATAATTCCATTTCCCAGCTTGTTTTCATGTTGCTATGCCCAGCTGCAGATCAATGAGTGAACTTGCAGATCATCAGTCCTTGATATCTTTTGCCTATTTTTTACAAAAGTTTAGGATTTATATTATACTTGACCTCTGCACTATATATCTAGTTAACTTCAAATCATTCTGGAGGTCTAAAAAATATTACAGACAGACAAAGGTACCCACCAAAGTACCAACTAAACCTTGTTCACAAAAGAAACTAGATCTAAATTTAGCAAATTAGTCATGAGCATAGAGATGACACTAAATCCTGGAAGACATAATGTGAGAAAATTATGGAAAGAAAAAAAAAAAAAAGGGGCATATGCTCAGAGGTTTTCCAAAATGTGTTCAATGTTATCTATATTTCTGATATACCTAAACATCACTGAAATTTTGGGGAAGTATTTTTCCTTGTGATCTACAAAGCTCAAAGGAAGAAGGGCATCAAAAGTCACTCTCCAGAGAGAAGATGTGTAGCAATACTACAATGACACACCTAGCACAGCAACCACCTAGTCTGAGAAGAACCATGCAAAGGACAAACCAGCTATGGATCAGAGTGGGTGAGACCAGTGCCTGCAGCTCAGCCAGGTTCTCCCAGGCTGATGGACACTGTCAGTTTTGCCATGTCTCAGTGCCTTTCCTACATTCTTTTAAAAAGGCACTGCTAGAGCCAGCTGGAACTCTGAAAGTGGGAGAGTGGCCTTTACTCTTGGACTGACCAAGTACATGGAGAAGAGAGAAGCACAACAGGGAAAAGCAGAAAGCAAGGACATTGGAGCCCTGGGCTGGTGAATGACTGCTGAACAGAACAGGGGACAAAGACAAGCTTCAGTAGTGAAAGAAAAGTCCTTTAAGGCTCAGAGGGGTCTCAGAAGACTTTGTTCAACTCAGGAAAACACTGACACAGCTAAAATCCATCTTGTGGACAAGGAACGATTAGTTCAAAACCCATTTTATATTTATCCTGCCTGACCTAGACATTTTGAGTTAAACAGTTTTTATACTGATAAGATCAACTTTTAAATGAAAATGTTTTGGGGTTTTATGTGTTTTGGTGGGTTTTGTTTCAGTTTTTTTCCCTTTTTTTCCCCCCCTTTCTTTGGGAACCATTACATTCCGTACTTGAAATCTTTTACTGTAAAGTAGAAAGCCAAGCATTAGATTAGAATGATAGATACCTCCTAAAATATACAAGTATATTGGTCCAAGTCTATCCAGTTTCAAATAAGAGCTACTGTATCTGAACTACCATACAATCTGTGGTCAGTTTGGAGCATCTATGTTTCTAAACCAAATCTCATGTTAAGTAGACATTTAATATATCAGAAAGTTTTAAAACAATTAAGACTTCTACAGTATAATCCTACAGAGACAGTTTACATTCTTCCTGTGAAGTTATGGTCTAGAGTTTACTTATATTGAACTATCTCAAAGCTTGAAACATACTCCTTGCTTTTCATGTGGGCTTCATATCAGGGAGTAAACAGGAATAAAATAATGGCCATTCTGTCCTTCAGGTTAAACAAATTTGATCTGACCACAGTAGGCCAGGCTTTCTGCAGTGCAGACCTTTCAACATAAAAAGGATAAGGTGAATAAAACATTATTTTAATTCTTGTTCACTTGATATTAGAAAAAAAAATACATTTGTAATTCTGGAAATACTACCAGAATTTTACAGTCAACACTGATTTTACAGTATTTGAGCTCCAAATATGCTGATTATACATACAAGATTTTTAAAAACTCTTACTTCTAGAAGCAGCAATTTGCCACATGGATTTTACACATGTAAGAGACTATAAGCACAGTGTGTAATTTGGTACAGAATGGCCTAGGTCAATGTCAGTGAGCTCATGGACACTCATCTTCCCTAAAATACTAGATTAACAGGAAAACTGGGGGGGAAAAAAAAAAAAAAAATTCTTCTCTATACCAGCCTGTTAAATGGCTTCCAAAGATCTTTACAGACTTACTTTGATCTTCTTTAAGCCAAAAGTTTGCTGTTGAACATCTTTGTTAATATTTGCAAGTGATTAATATAACACTTTAAGGCTCACAGCAAGACTCAAACAAAATAAGGGGACCAAGGCAAGTTAAGTAAACCCCAGAGTTTGTGTTTGTTACTTCAACTGTACAATATTCTAAACCCTCTAAAATGTCTGGTTTGTTCTATTTTAATTTAACCAGACTGATTTTACATGCAAGTTTGAAATCTGAATTATATCAATTTCTGTTGCTGGTGAAAGTACACTACTACTGCAGTTGTGCCACCAACCATAGGACTGGTCATGCCGTGTGCTGTCAAACAGTTATCAATACCAGACAGCAGTTTGTTTCCTGAAGTGATGAAGAAGAAATCACAGCTGAGACTACATGGGAAATCAAACTCCAGCAGTGGTAGGTCCTCAAAGTTCTCAGCTCCCAGTCAACAGCTTGTAGGATCAGTCTCTCCTGTAGGCAAGCTGTAATTATCTGAGTTACAGAGTTGTTTGAGTGAGCAGATCTGTTCTTGCAAATCCTGATAGTCACAAAAACTGGCAATTTCTAATCTGAGAATCGACACCTACTACGGACAGAGTTCCTTCACAGCATGCTGCTCAGAGCCAACATTAAACCACCTCCTGACACACCTCATTTTCTCCAGCAGCCTTCCACCAAGGAACAATTTAATCTGTCCCTGCTGAGTTCTTAAGAGCTGACAAGAATAAAATCTGAGGTAGTGTGGTTAGAGGCCATATTAACTTTTTAAATCATGAAAAATACATTAACAAGTGTTCTTTAAACATACTTTAAGGTTATGAAACTACACCAAGTTCTAACTAAAAATGTAAGCTCCTGGGGAGTAGGCTGGGGGGGACAAGGACAGGGTCATTTTCTCGGTCTTCCTAAATATTAGGAGCAACAATAATTTATCACCAGACAATCCATAACTTTTTTTTTTGGTATGGCCTTGGTATTTTCGCTATGTAGTACTTATAAAAAGCAGACATTCTAGTTAAACATTATTTAAAAATCTCTTCAGTTTGCTGATTTGGTATACAAAGTTTATTCATGTTTGATTAGGCTAAAAACATCTCATCTTGGTTTCCTTATCTCTAAATTTACATACTGTCTTTTCCGTCCTCTACTCCACATTTGGATTATTTTGTTGTAAAATCAAATGTGCGTCTAGTAAGACAAGTTCATCAATGGAAGTTTTGTGATGTATATTATCCATTTCCCTATTTGCAGTGAGATGAAGAATTACCAGATTAACAGCTGATTATTTACTCAGACAGCTGCTTGTTCTTAGGTAATAACCCATACAGGGTGTAAAGAGCCATCTCTTCCTTGCAACTACTGCTGAAGGGATCTTTGTGCAGACTGAGGTCTGTGGAGAGTCCCTGTACCAAAAAAAGCATCATATTCCTGCAAAATGTAGATAACCCATGTCTTAATCCACCTGTCTCAGAGAGGTTATGAATGACAGGGAAAGAAAATCCCTGTGCCAAAACAATGGTATTTTAGTTACTTCCATTATCTCAAGCTTCATTTTAGAAGTAAAGATTTTAAGCTCTCTGAAGGCCAAGATGAATATTCATACTGCTTATTTTCTTGAGTATTGGAAAATGGTTCCTGCTGAAGCAGTCCTTCAGGAAAATGTCCATAAAAGAAAAAGACATACAGGTTGACAAGCTGGAGGTTTTATTACTGAAAGTGCATTTAATATGATGAGATGTGATACTAGACCAGGAAGATTTTGTGAAGTGTGCTGGGAGAGGTGGAAACTAGGGAACTGCTGCCATTTCCTCTCATTGCTATAATAAATGGTACAAACGTCTTAATTAAGGTTCTAAAACATATTTGGGTCTTCCTGTTTTTTTCCACATATACATTGGAAAGTGCACCAGGAAAGACAATGTTTTTTTTTTTTTTCTAGTGAGTTTGCAAACATTTGAGGAAGTTTCGTTCTGCCAAACTCCCAGAATAAGTTCCAGAATCCACATTTTAACACAGATTGGAGTGAAGAAGTCTTATAAAGTACACAAGGCTATGGGACAGCTCAGCAAATGATTACAAAGAACTACACCTACTACATTCATGTATATCTTGTATTTAACTACTAAAATAACACAGTGGAGATGTAAGAGTTACTCACTGACAGGTATTAGCTAAAATGGACAAAGTAAGAATTCACAACAGAGCAACTTCACCAAACAACATTTCTGCACTCAGGAAAAATAAAGAGGAAATAGGAAAAAAAAAAAAAAGTGTATCTCCAACTCTGTTCAAGGTCTAGTTTTGGGTCTGTCTCCCACAGAAGATGTAAATAAAGCTTTAAATTATCTGTAAATGTCAGTTCAACTTCTCCTCAGTCAGATTCTCTGAATGTCACTACCAGTTAGCATTGCCTACCATCTTTGAGGATTGTTTCTCGCTCTGTGCCATCAATTTTCTGTCGTCCAATTAGGAAACTGGTAGTATCAGCAAAATAAATGTAATTGGTTTCAGCATGGAAGTCCAGAGCACGAGGGTTAACCAGGTTTTCTATAGGGATCATGTATTCATCAGATACTTTGGTATTCAGGTCCATTCCTCGTATTACTCCTGGGCGTCCCTTCCCATAAAAAAGGAACAATTCATTCTTTGGTCCTGCAAAAGAAAGATTACAAACATAAACAACTGATGCTGCCTAATCTTCTTTACAGTGCTTAATGTCACTGCTTAATTAACTGGCACAATTAGTGGGGGAGCAGAAGCATTATTCAATACCAAAAATTAAACTTCCCAGTATTCTGAAGGTATCCAAACTCAAGAAATCTACCTAATTATATTAACCTAATTAAAATACAAATTACTTCAGTGAACTGCTTACATCTAATTTTTTTTCCCCTATAAAAATCCCACACTAAAAAGCAATGCTTGATCCCAGAATAACTTTGTATCTACTGTGAAATAGGCAAATATAGCTTTGTAGACATGTAATTTTACAATTTGTTAGGATCTCTGAGGCTAATGTAGACCATGACTGAAGTAAACACGAAATCTAACAAGACCATGAACTCCAGCAAACACAAAACACCATATTTTTCACCTGAATTTTCTCAGAAACAAACAAGACAAAAGATTACAGTAAATTTCTCTCACATGGGAAGGAATACAAGATACCCACACATACTGTTCTTTCTTACTGAGATAGAAACCAGATACCAATACTTCCCATTTCTGAGGAGTTGTTTACAATTTAAATAAGTAGGTTAATTAGAAATAAACTAAAGCTTAGTAAGGTGATTGTCTTTTTTTAAAGATACTTATGAATATCCTCAAATTCCCTAAGGACTATCAATATACCTCTTAAAATTCTCTAAAATATATATTTTTCCTAATACCTTTCAGAGTCTTCTTGTTGGAATTTACTATGAAAACAATATGAGGCTTGACTGAGGCCAAATATACCCATCTACCAGTATCCATCAAAGCATCTAATTTCATGCCTTTGGTCTGAACAGACTGTGTATCCCCCAAAATTAGGTATAACCATAGTCATACCAATCAAACTTGCTTTGAGAAAGTCTTATGAGAAAAACCTTGCTTGACTTGTTCGTGTGACTGGTCTGCTTCTGAGTTACATGTTGATTCTGTGGGCAGCAGCTGGATGTGGCACATGATTTAACAGCATTTCAATGCCTCTGTGCTGTAAGACTGCACAGTAAATAAAGAAATAGTATGTCTGATGTGTTCAAAATTGTGATGATTTCTAGAATTCTTCGAACAGCATCCGAGGTTTGATTTGTCACTTTTAAGAACTAAGCCAAATCAAATGATTTTAAGGGAATACAAGGAGCACATGAACAAAGTGCCAGGCACACGCTGCAAACGAACAGCACCCAAAAGCAGCCCATGTGGTTGCTGCTGTTATTGGTAAGCAGGTTAAACACCACCCAGAACTATCCCCTGGAATCCCAGCAGTGGGCAGACTCTGATTTTGGTAACGTACTTTTGCAGGACCTGCCATCACTCCCCAGGATGAAGCCAGTCCTGCAGCGACAGGTCCGTGCTTTGTAGTTGCTGCTGAGCAGGCAGATGTGTGAACATCCCCCTGGTGTTCCAGATGGGTCCTCTTCACATGCGTGGCTCCTGACTACAGCGAGTGAAAAACAGCACGATTCAAATCGTTTAGAGCAAGACAATGAGATGCATTAGCATGAAGAAAGTTTAGAAAAGGAGGGGAAAAAAAAGGTAATTTGTGTCATAATAAATCTTTCCCCAGAATGCAACTACACAGGAAGTTGGTTTTGTTAAGATGATACCTAAAACAGGCAAGTAATCCAAAGGACCACCTTGCAGCTATTGAGCCATTCCCACTGTGTGCAGTCACCCCTTTCTGAATGAGCTTCTGCACAGCATTTGCCAGGCAGCACTCCCCTAGGCTAGCTGACACTTTCTCCCTTTTTTATTTATTGCTTTGGTTCATTTGGTCTGTTGGTTTTTTGAGGACAGAGTGAATCCCATGCCCATGCAGTCTGCCACTCATACAGCTCCATCAGACTGCACCTTTTTGGGACAGAAACTAAAGAACAGAACGAGCCTTGGAGCATTTTTCCATATTTGTACAGTTGGGACATAAATCCAGCTGAAGAAGCCAAAGAATTCCTTTCCCTTGATTTCATATTTTCAAATGCATGGTGCTAAAGTAGCAGACTAATATATCAAATTCATATTTCACACTCTTTAAAGTAAATCTGATGAGAATAAAAATCTACCTTGCTATTCTGTATTTACTGGCTTAAAATAGCCCAACAGTGCCTTAGCTTAAAATAAAAAAAAAAAAAAGTTTTTCCTCTTCTTTGTCCTTTTCCTCAAGCTTTTCACGTTTTTTTTTTGTTTGTTTGTTTGTTTGGGCTTGTTTTAAAAGAAGTAATGAAGTGGTTTAAGGTCGATATTGTTAAAGGTATACAGAAACTCTACCAAGCTCAGACAGCTTTTACAGCAATTCTAGACAAGCAACAAACCCGTCCATCCAAAACAAAAGAAGTGGCAGAGTGAACAAAGGGCAAGAGGAACAGAGTAATCACAGGATGTAATAAAAGATTACACTGTGCTCATGTCTCTCCTCTACTCAACCCCCCCCCCGACTCCCTCAGGGGGTACAAGAGCAGGGCCTAGAGTAAGCAAAGTCTTTTGCAGCCTCCTTCAGACAATGACGTCTACAAATCAATGCCCTCAGCTATGGGGTTGAAAATTAGTTCATCCAGTCTACATCAATTTAGAGTTTGTTCCCACTTCAGAAACTTCCTAAAAGCAGTCAGTCTGTTTAATAACACTGACATTGATCACCAGAATTGATGCATTGGGTTTTCTGTCCAAGCAGTCCTGACAAGGATTTATTGCTATCAGTCACATCAAAAACTTTTCATAAAGTATCACTGTGAACATTTTGGATCTTGCTATCTTTGGAAAATGTTCCCACAGATCACACTGATGTTCAGAGCCATGATTAGAGCCATACAGGAGTATGGACCTCAGAAACTGCTATTTCAACAAAAATTCTGAGACTACAAAAAGTTTTTCATTTTAGATGAAAAAAAAAAAAAAAAGATTTATTTCACAGAAGGCAAAGATGATATTTACACAAACCAAGGAAAACCTAACAGCAATCTCCTATCTCAACACTCATTGTGTTGGCAGTTAGGCAGGCTAGCTACCCACATGGCACGGTTCAGTGGTGGACTTGGCCAGTGTTGGGCTTACTCCAACCTAAGCAATTCTATGATTCTATGCTCTCCACCTTTTTTTTTTTTTGGCAGCCCTGCAGACAGGGCCTCATTTGAGGTTTGTAGTCTGCCTATAAAGCAGGCTTAGAGAAACCAGGAATCTCTGAGGTCTGAGCCCTAGATGTGAGGACAGCATTGAACATCTGACTATTCTGAAGGTGTTAGATTCTGCAAGTGTTGAGTGTGTGGAGCCAGAAAGCTCCCAGACCAGGGCTCTTTGGCAGTTCTCCAAGCTGACTGCTCACGAAGCAGTTGTGTTAGGAGCTTAGAGGTGCAGGAAAACTCTTACTGGCAGTAAGCACAGAGAACACTGGGCAGATGAAGAAGCAAGAGTTTTGCCACAGTGACATATTTTCACTACATCTTCCGATAGAGTTTGCTGGAAGAACCTTTTTAACAACATGACCACCTAATATCTGGTTCTACATTTGCTAAAAATAAGAATTATTATCTTACCTGTTGTTTGAGTTCTTTTCTGGTATACCCGGATCTCTTTAGCATTGTCAAGTCTAGCAAGAGACTGAACATCAGTGCCATTATACCTGTTTATTCGTAAAATGCTGAGGTTATCTGAATTAACTGTATATAAATAGTTTTCAAATACTGCCAAACCACAAAGATGCCTAATCTGAAAAAGAAAAAAAAAAAAAAATCATTATTTTAGCTGGATATTTTCTGCATATCTATGATTTGTAAACATCAAACGTTACTGGGAATGGCACATGCTAAACTGTACAAAAGGATTTCTGAATATGTCAATATTTGTAAATAATAAAAGATACACTAAAAGTACAGTTCATATTCTTGTAGTCCAAAGTTTATAATTAGAAAAGCTTTGTAGATAAGAGGCAGAAAATTCAAAATATTTAGCAATTAATTTATCCTCTGAATTTTCCAGTTTGTCTTTTAAATGAAAGCTTTCTGCATATTTTAAGTACTACAGCTTATTTTAGTATTAACTAATAATAACTAAAATAAACCAAATAATAGTACCTAGCATTAACCAATAAATATAGTAAATATGTATTTAAAACACAGTTTATAGGTATTTTTTGTTATGTTATAATCAAAGTGAGGTAAACAGGGCAGGATATACTCACTGAATGTTTTCCTAAGTAAATAAATGAATAAACAAATTCCCTCACGTATGGTTGTGTTCCTTTTGTGTTGGTATCTTTGAACATGGTTGTGCTAATATGGTACTGCTTGTTTCTCAAAAAGTGATTTCTAAAACTATATTAATCTCTGATGTGTCTGGGTATATTGATTAAAAATTACCTAATGTTAGTTAGCCAATCACATCTTGAACATGAAGTGTTCCATAATCTAGCAGTTGTGCTTGATTTATAGAGTTAGAAAACGTAAAATCTCTCATTGGTAGTTTTAAAAGCTGAACAAATTGAAGAGAATTTGTTGGCAGATGTTCAGATATTCACAGGCTGAATATCTTATTAGTTTAAACAATAAACTGCTCACCACAAAGTAATCGCTTAGCTCATTTACTCACAAATTCAGACATATGTCACAAAAAAAATCCTACCCAAACCAAAAAAGTTGTATGGCACATGAAATAGTCCAGCCCATTCTGGAAATTACCTCCAGTTGCCCAAATCTTGCCATTGGACTCTGCCCTTACCCAGAAAATAAATATAAATAATTGAGATCAGTGGGAGTCTTTAGTTAAGACCCAATAGAAATTCAATTCAACTGTAGTTAGGTGGAAAAGAAAACAGCCTTAAAAATAATGAAGCATCTGTATGAAATTGTTGAATTCTCCTCTGCATTATAATAATTTCTTCCCTATTTCTATTTGCACTCAGCTTAAATCTTTATTATTTAACTCCCATGAGAGCTTTTCTATATTTACACAATTAAAAATGTGACATTTTTACAACACATTTTAAAATAACTTAATTATTTCTATTTAATTTATGCATTTTTTGCATGTCTTTTGATATGCTTGTACTTATGAAATAAACTTTAATCCCTAAAATTTCTTGAGAATAGTTTTCTGGTCTGTTTCCTTGGAGTAATGAGGAATAACTTGGAGTAACAGTCACTCCAAATCCTGGCAAATGCAGGCACAAAACCGGGGGAAATTACCAATTTTTCATTTGAGTGGAAAGACAACCAATATGCTTCTCCTTTCGTGACAGCAGTGAGCAACTGAGAGGCCAAATTTTTTTATACCCTTCACCCATATGGAAAGAGAGACATCCTTCTACTTGCTTAGCTAGTTTAGAGAAGAAAGAACCCTTCCGAACTTGACAAAGAAACCTCTTTTGCATCCAAATTTAAGAAAATAAAGAAAAAGCATCTCTCCTATGACACTTGTACAACTCTTTCACAAACTTGTAAAACTATTTGTTAGCTGCTTCCAAAAATAGCTTTTGGTTTTTAAGTAACTATGCCAAAGTGCTACCTGGAAAAAAAAAAGTTTACAAGACCTGTTATTCCAGAACAACTGGCTAAAGACTGGGAGTATTGGAGTTAAAAATAAACAAACAAACAAACAAACAGATAAATAAATAAATAAATAAATAAATAAAAGGAGAGTTTTTGCTATTTAGTTAGGTAACCTAGACCAGTTTTTGTCATATTTTCTGCTTATTTTTAAATTCTACTCATGCTAACCAGTTGTCTTTTAGTAAATGGTGCTGCTGGGAAGCAAGCAAAGCGTGACAGCAGAGCAGGTAAAATGTTTGCTCTGTCTGCACATTTTTACACACTCTGTTTAACCTCAGGCAGAAGGAGATGTAAATATGACACCCACACCAGCTCTGAACTCCAAGTAGCAACCAGGAACAGCTTGATCTTTGCTAATTCTTCCTTATAAGCCTCACAACTGCTAGGGAACCCTCCCCTTCCCTGCTACATACTACCCAGTCTCCAAGCTGAAACAGCAGGTTGGTGTCTCCTGCTCAAAGACTCATGCAGTCCCAACATTTGTGTTTATAACTGAATATCTGGATCAACTGGGAAAAGCATCACTGCCATCAACAAAATATGATTTTAAGGGCATCAAGACTGGCCTGAAGAGGTGAGTAACTTTTGCTATTGTTTTTTTCCTCCCCCACATTCTTGTGCCTGTTGGTCTCTTTTTCCTGAATTGGCAAGGACATTTTCTTGTCATTAATAATTTATCCCCAGGTATCTTTCCATCATTCCCTATTTTCCCTCTTTAAGTCCTTTACAATGGAGAGTGTGACTTACATGGGGCATTGATAATGAGACACTGCATGGAAGCTTGTCCATAGGTTGCAAAAAGGACTAAATTGCAAATAGTGCAAAATGTGCAGATGGATCTTTTTAGTTCAAATGCATTAGACATTAAAAGAGAAAAAAAAAAACAAACCATAAATCTGGTATTCCTGTAACTGTTAGCATCATGTACATTCATTTATTGCGATAATTACTTTTTACTACTTTGTAAATAAATACCTACTTGTCTGCCTTTAATTATTGTATGCCTCTTTCTCCCTTGGTAGTCAACAACTTCCACACTATCCAGATATATGTCAACCCAGTACACATATTTATTGACAAGGTCTAGTGCAAGGGCAGTTGGCTGTTCAATTTTAGAGTCTACTATCCATGTCCTGTTCATTCCATCCATGTCACATCTCTCAATCTTGGCAGTATTCCCGTAGTCTGTAAAGAAAAGTTTTCTGTTGAAAGAAAATAAGACGTGGTAAGTTTAAAAGGGTGAACAGAAAGCCAAGCTCCTGCTGGCTCTGTGCAAAGAAAGTTTGTGTTCTTCCTCATTTCAGGGTGTTCATCTATTAATAACCCATATTGATAGTCAGATAATTAAAAAAAAAGAAAACACCATATTTTCTACTAAATTCAGAGTTACACAGAATTTTCTTTCAAATGGATTGTGCAGATGTTCTAAATACATTTCCTTACACCACAGATGAACCATGTAATACTTTTCTTATAAATGCATGGCATTCATATGTACAGACACTACATTCCAACCTTAAATATCTCTTTAATAATTGCTTATAAAAAATGGCAAGATACCTACAAATAAAAAACCCACCAAGCACTTGCATAGTTTGGAGAACAATTCATGGCCTATGAGGCATGACAAATGCAGCGATCCACACTGTCATGGTTTTGACAATACATTCCTAAAGAAGACACTTTAGTCATTAGCACATTTGTGTCCAGTCTTAGAAGAACATGTAGGCTTTAAAAATGTTTCCACACATCCAATGAGTCATTCCATCCAAGAATAATGGGAAACTATCAAATACTTAAAACTGCTACTAAAGCTTCCTAACCCTTGATTAGCATTCAGCAGGTTTCATACACACAAATCCATTTTGATTAACGTGACAATATTTTAACAAGATTATCTTTTTGTGAGACTAAATTACACTTGCAAGCTGAAGACCACCTTGCCATGACTTTAACATGCTGTAAAGAATAATCTGATTCCATACTGAACGTTAGTGGAACTACTTTGAGAATCAGGATTTCATTTGCAAAATGAAGTGAATTATCTCCTTGTTATTACCACTAATATGAATAACATTGTACCTACAGCATATAAACCTTGAGAGATCTTTTAAAGAGTAGTAATTTATAGCCTTGCAACCTCTCATAGAAATTCAGCATTGTAGTATATTTTAGGCTGGAAAGAATACATGTTTGCTAAATAGCCAACAAACCCCATAGCCTTTATTATTACCACATTCAAATAAATAAGAATACATTTTAAATGTGAAGCGTTTCATAGGCAAAATACATATTTTTTTTAAAATCATTTAAAGTGTTAAAGGCAGTAGAATTATCTATAGTATATGTACAGCAGCTGTCAAATGCCAAAATGAATTGATCAAAGAATTATAAAATAGGGCTTGAGGACAATTTGAAAGGTCATGTCGTCCATCACCAGGCCTTAAGGCAGAATAAACTTTACCTATAACACTCCTGAGGGATAACTCCATTCCTGACAGGGATTTCTATTTATCAAAATCATTCTGAATTCCTGTCTTGTTCTTCATTTTAACTCTGTATCCCAGCTGTACTTCAAGAACGTTTTAAAATCCACATAATTAACATTCAGGTCCATATAAATCAAAATGTGCATACTACAGATGATGAGCAACATAAAAATTATGTCTGCAAAGCAAATGTTTAAACTTGGAATGAGGACAGCCAAAGAACTGAGTCGATATAGATGTATATACACATATGTATGTATCCTATCAGCTGTAGCAAGACTGTACGTTTAAGACCTAGTACATTTAAAATAAGTGTGTTAAAACATTTGTGTGTTCTAATCTACAATATGTATTTCTGGAGATTTAGGTTATTTAATGGAACTTTGTACTTCAAGATTCAGTAATTCGAATAAAGCTCATTTTGGAATCACAGAACCAAACGTTTGCTGTGATAGGTGCACACAGACACAGCAACCACACAGACCTGAAGCTTGACTTCAGACTGACTCTCCACTTGATTGCTCAGTGCACAGTATTCTTATACAATATTTAACATTTCCATGTGATACCACAAAGCAGACTAAAACACAAGTTCAATAATTGCCTTTTACAACTATATTCTCTTCTCAGATCAGACAAGAAATAAAATGTATGTCATTAACAAATAGGTACAGTAAAGAGTATCTAAGATGCTTCTCCAGCTTTCAGGGACAGGGATAATTTGTTTTCTAAATATCTGTTTTATATTAGCATCATTTGTGCTAAGGAAGCTAGCATGACTTCACATGTAAATGACAGTCTTTTAATTTTAAAAGTCATTACTCCTTTGGAGAATGACAATATTAAGTGTTTATCTTTTAATGGAGAGGTGAAAGATAGAAAAAGTAGTTGCCTAACTACTGCCATATGATCAAAGTGTTCTAAAAAAAAATTAAGAAAATTAAATGCTTTACCATGTAATATTGGAATGAAATTCTTTATTTAAAGACTAATGCAGACTTGTTTTTTAATATAATGAGGTTTAATTCAGAATTGCACTTATAACACATGAAGCTGACCCACAGCTACACTATTTCCTTTGCCTTGGGATTTCTTAAGGATACCCTGTAGTAATATTTATGTGAGCTCAAGGCTAATTTTTCTGCTCAGAAATGGTGCTCAATTTGCCTATCTATTTTCAGCAGAGGATGATGATGCCTTTTATCAATTTACAAAGCAATTTCA